TGCCAGGGTTGTTTTCCTTTTCCTAATCATCTGTATATTGTAAAGCACTGATAATGTATTATGCTTTTTCATGCTATCTCTCATATAAACAGCAATATAATGGTAGATGGTCATATTAAATGATAATGAGCTCTGTATGATGTCCATCAGATTGGATGTGCCTGTCATGGACACCTCAGACACAGAGTTCTGCCTTTTGTTTACGAGGGGCAGCCAATCAGAAGAAAGCTGTATTAAAAGGAGAGGTTGGGAATCTGTAATAGCTTGTCTCAAACAAATAAATAAGGATTATTTTTATATATTCTAGTTGAGTCCAAGAATGCGAAGTTAAGAATGAGCATAACATGTCCCTTTTGTTGTCTTTGTCAGTCTCCTCTGTTCTGTTACACATTTCAGATAAACCCTCCACATGTACAATATTATAAACTAATCATTTTTTATCACTGTGTCCATGCAGGAGACACGGATCCAGTACGCAGGGAGTCTGTGATGCGAAGGACGGCGCAGTACCTGAAGCACGCTGAGATGTTGGTGGAAAGGCACTCCTCACCCTCTCACAGTCACACACCTGCACAGGACCACTAGATGGGCGCGTGTATTGACGCACAATGTACAATATATGAGGAAATCTGGAACACAATGGAACTCAGGGTCGTGGCATACACGGGCATGTCACGCAAAGGCATATTGACGAAAAGTACAGATAAACAGTTTCACGGATACGTGCACATACGGACATTTGGACCGTGGCATTCCCAAATACAAGCGCATCCACCTGGAAATGAAACAACATGGCACAAACATACAGACCCACATGTCTGAGGTACACACTACAGTACAAACTGGATCTTTAGTTGCCTTTGTTTTGAAAAACTTGTGACTCACAAAATCGACATATACAGAAACTGAACGTAGCTGTTAACTTATTGAACTAATGCATCTCTTCTTCTTTTTGTCTTTCCTTTACATTGTCCTCTTCTTGAGCACAATAATGTATAAGTGTATCAGTGATTTACATTTTTGCACAATCTTTTGTTAATAAATATGATTTTAATTTAAGTGAGTAAGATTCCTTCGCTTCTTCGCTACATTTTGAAACACTGGCTTCACTGCTTCAGCCAACAGTGTTACCAAGTCTGTAACTACAGCTGTTCACAATCAGTCAATCAATTCAAAATAAATGTGGTTTTACTACAGGTAAGTAGTAAAAGTGCAAACAGTGTCAACACCTTTGTGCTATTTGGAATAAATCACTCATTTTTTAATAAATTAAACTGAGATCTATCTTCTAATTACCTGAATTACACGAATAAATCCGATTTTGAAAACGATGGCAACATATAAAAAGTACATTAAATGGTTGTTTTCCTCAGTAAAGATGCAAATAATCATTTTGTCCCTTAACAGATCCAACTGTCTTTTATTATCTAATCTAATAAGGGCACACAAATAAATTATTAAGGGGATTATGTTGTCTTTAGGCCTTTCATGGTCTTATATTTGTCTTTTCTGTTCAATATAAGCAGCAGATAGATAAAAGTGTGCCCATTTTGAACTACAAATGCTGAATAATAGTTTTGCGTGGTCTGCTTTGATTTCACTGTTTGGCTCAGCAACTGTTCCAACAACTGCTGTGTAACGTCATGTGCTAGCTGGAGCAGGAGCCTGATCAGGAGTCATGCTAACCATGCCACCTTGAAAACACTGATTCAAACTAAGTAAGCTTGAATGATTAAGACCAGTGTGACAAAAAAAACGGATCATACCCGTAAAACAGGTCTCTCCCTGTTGCAGGCATAGATACTGAAGGTTTTATCTGTCGCACTGCATAGGGGGTGGGTCATACTGAGCATTTGGACTATGAGGGCATTCACTTCATCCTGTTTCTATTTGGAGGAATGAGACTATTCCCAGTGTCCCTCACAATCGCGTTGCATGTGGGTCTGCAGTAGCAAGGCATTACCTCTGAGAGGCACTGTTGACTTATGATTATAACCACTAACAAACGCTGTAGTGCAGAAACTCATGCTCCCTGTTCATGTTAAAATCAGGTAAATGTCATATTTGTTTTCCGCAGATGAACAATTTTTAGCACAAAGCAGTGAACTGGGGAGGAAACTGAAACCTACCTGTAGCCGAACTCTTCTGCCTTCAGCTATACTACTTAATGAAAAATTGATGCTACAGGTTTTGCTTTTTTGCATGCCGAATTGGATGTTAAAAAAACGGAAAGATGGTCCAAAAAAAATAACGTTTAGTGACAGTGACTATATCTGCATATACTTGATCAGTCAAATCAATTTTTCATGCATTTTTGTGACCAAGTATGTAAATGAAGGTAAACCACGATACGCACCGACTACCTTTTTGTTAGGGGATATTTTGGATGTTTGACTAAGAGAAAGAGATGAAATGCCAAAAAAAAAAAGATGGAAAAGAGAAAAAAAGATCACAGCCAGCACCAGAATCCCTTCTCTGGAGAGGAGAGAGGGATTGAGTGAGCGCTGGAAGGACAAACAGATGGAGAGGTGACAAAAAAAGGGAGGCCAACGAGAGGAAAAGGCTACCCTTTCTCCCACCACATCGAGGGGTTGCAGAGTGTGAGACATGACAGAAAGGACGGAGGAGAGGGGAAAAAAGACGGGATGAGATTAGAGGATAAGCAGAGATCATCCCTCCATTGTTAAAGGGATGGGAAAAAAGGACCCTCCCTCTTCCTCTATTTTCCTCCCCTCCACCATACCTCCTCTTTTTTCTTTTTGCATGCTTTGTTTTGACCATTGTAGTGAGCTTGAAGTGGATGGAGGGATGGCGAGAGAAAGCAAGAGATAACATTGCTCCATCCTGTTATACATCCCTCTTTTCCTCTCATCTCTCCACCTCTCTACCTTTCTCTCCATCTCCCCCTCGTTCTAGTGCTCCACCTGTGAAATGTAGAGGATGTGAGATAGGAAGATGGAGAGACAAAGAGATGGAGGGAGGGTGGGAGGTTTGAAATCACAGGGGGGGTAGAGCCTCACAACATTAGCATGCTGAGAGTGTCAGCACTCTCCTCTTTTTTCTCTCTCTCTCTCCCTCCATCCCCATCCCTCACTCCGTCTCTTTCTCCTCACTGGTCACTGCAATTATACCATCAAAACACTCCAGCCTGAGAGCATAATAGCTTCCCCCTGTGCGTGTGTGTGCGTTATCACGAGAGATCAAAAGAAAGAGATGTGTGTGTCGGTGTGTGCCTGTGTGTATTTGTGCATAATTTAGTGCCATACATGGTACATTACGTGTGCATGTATGACATAAAGGGCAGCTCTGCGTGTGTGTACCCATTCTGGATTTTGCAGCATGTGTGGGTGACATGAGTGTGTATGTTTAAGTATCTTTTTGAGTCCTGGTGACTAGAAAAACTGCTTCTCCAACCCCTGACCAAACACACTCTTAAGCGCACTCTAAGAGACCCACTTTGCATATGTGTGCGCGTCTGCCGAGTTTCTATTTACACACACTCTCTCGCACTGGCTCACACTAATGGATGCATGCAGGCATACAGTCATGCCTCTGAGAGACAAACCGTTATGACCTACATGCCCAGTGGGTCATCATCAAGCCAAACTGCACACTGTGACACCTTCGGGTGTCTATACACACACACATGACGCACAAACACTTTCTCTGACTGTTTTTATTTTTGCTCTCTCAACTTCCTCTATTGCGCTTCCCTTCCGCCCTCTGTGTCTTCCTTTTTCTCTCTTGTTCCCTAACACACACATACACACTAACCCCCCTCTGTGAGCTTGTTATTCCTCTGTCCATTCGTTTCTCTCTGTCACCTTGCCCTAAGCTATTTGAGTACACTTCTGCCTCTCGTTCTCCCTCTCCTCTCTCTGTCTCCCTCTCTCTCACACACACACATGCACGCACAACCATTTGTTCTCTTTCTGTCTGTCTGCTTCTCTCTCACCCTTTCCAGCCTGCCTGTCTCTGTTTCTGCCCGTCTTGACATATGTTCACAGCCTCTCTGTGTCTCTTTCAATTTGACCCAGAGCCTGAACGTCAGACAAAGCGTATCAATAAAAGCATGCAGAAAGAGTTTCAACATTTGAGCACGACTCCACCGATTTTAGACAGAAAATTCAGTTTTTTTCATCCGGTGATAACTGTTTCTGTTTCCAAGAAGGAAAACAACGTCTAAAAATGAACGTACCTGATCACTTTTCACTGACATGGTCATCAGTGGAGCCAAAAGCCTGCCTTCAGACTGCAAAGAAGGCATGGACGTCCAATAAGGGTTTAATTGAAATATGTCATTGAGTTGCATTATGGGAAATGTAGGATTCAGTCTAGTATGTGTGCTTACTTCAGAAATAGGTGTAATCTATGAAAACCAAGCAACCCAGTGAAACGATCAGACTTTAAAGCATGTCGCACACACACCGCAGCACCGAAAACCATCAAACGCTACAATGAAACGTCTCTCATGAGGACAGCCCTGCAGGAAACAAAGTCCCAGTGTTACCTTTGCTGTCAGTGGAGTTACCAGCCAGTTAGCTGGAACATTGTCTGATGTTATTAACAGGAGAATGATCCAATTTGCACCTTGAGGCTTTTTAAAGGTGAAGAAGGAGCGATATTGAGTTCTGCAATATCTGCTGACCCACCTGTTAAAAGGGAGTTTTTCTATCTATCTTTTCTTCTAGATAGATAGAAAGATAGATAGATAGATAGATAGATAGATAGATAGATAGATAGATAGATAGATAGATAGATATGTGGGGACTCTTTTAAAAAGCTTCCAAGTGACATCGTATGAAGCAGATTTAGAGGAAGTGAAGACTTTGAAAAGTTCATATCAAAGCAAAGGGTGAACACTTTTTGAAAAATCAAAAATGTCAAACATATGTTGCTTTGCTTTACACATTTTTTGAGTCATAGTTTCCTGTGTGTTGTTTCATTGTTCTGATGACATTTTGATCCAAAAAGCAGAAAAAAGACAGTAAATAGAAACCCTTGAATGAATGGATGTGTTCAAACTTTTGATTGTTACTGTACTACAATGCAGTAATGCAACCCTGCATTCGCTGATTTTTTTCTCGCACTAATTTGGAGTTTTTGACTTTGGCTATCTGATTTATGGAAGCTGCTTTTTCTCTTTTTGGACTAGTTCAAAAAATATTTTGACTTGTGCCTGCAAAATCCTCCAGGGTGTTCTCAACCTATAGTTGCTAAGTTGGGGAGATGCTGAGCAGGAGATTTATGATAACGCTTTTATTTAAACTCCCCGTTCTTGCCAGAAAAACGTTTTAGAGCCCGATAACCAAAACAACTGGTAAAAGTGGCTAAAGGACAGAGCAGAGCTGAGGCCAGCCGCAGCGTTGGGTGATCATTTTCTGCTACTTTGTCACTATGATTGGTTTTCTCTTGCACTGAAAATACTCATCTGACCCACTGTTGACATCAAAGTATTGATTAATGCAACTTTAATTAGATTTTTATTTCTATTTCTCCCTTCACCACCCACTCGCTGCCCTCCTCTCTGCTCCCAGCATTTTCTGTCCTCTAATTTCGTCTCTCCCCGCCATCACTCTTTCACTCCGACTAAATCAATGAACATACACTTTATGCCATTTATTGATCTTTTCGTATCTATCTATCCTCACCCCCTCCTGCTCTTGCCCTCTCCGTTTCTCTCACTCTTTCCCCCCCACCATCCTTTTTTCACCACTTTCTTTCTCCCCTTTGAATATATAATCTCTATCCCTCTCTTTCTGTCAATCTCTTCTCCTTTTTATCTCTCGCTCTGGGATATCCTATTTATATGGCTGGCACCTTCACGCTCCTACCAGAGTGTGTGTGTGTGTGTGTGTGTGTGTGTGTAAGAGAGAGTGAGAGAGAGTGTTTGATGTTAGTCTAAGTGGTTAACATAATATGAGCCCTCAGAGAGATGACGTTCAGGCACTCACACACAGACAGACACACAATTTTAGGCTTTTTGGTACGCTTTTTTTGTGAACAATTTGTGCTTTTTAGTATTCTCCAGCTTGTGCACCAGATCCATGTATTATCTA